TGATTATCGATATCCATCGGATATCAATCGAACACCATATAGTACCTGTGATGGTACAAAACGACCCGATGATAATCGATACCCAATTCGTCATTCATATCCTGGTAATGCACGTTCATGTGCTATGGAAATTAATATAAAAATTAATACTGGTGGTAGTGGAACTTCTCAAGGACCATATGCAACACAAAATTATACATCAAAATCACCAGATGTTCGTTCGCAAGCAACTATTGATAATGTTCGTTATATCACTTTACATTTGCAATCACCACAAAATACGGCTCGAATTGCAACGGATGGTATTATAAATCGGTTACAATGACAAAATTCAACTGGTTTTTCAAGAGAAAATGACAATTAATAATAACTAATTTATATTTTAAAAAACTATTACAAGAAATCTAAGTGTGCGTGTGTGTTCGAAGGTGATTTTTATTTATCAAATCAAGAATAATAAATAAATACAACAGAAAAAAAAAACATACGTTTTGTTTTTTTTTATATTAACATAATCTAGAATGAATAGATAGAATTAACATTTTATTTATATCAGAGTTGTCAGTAGGCTACTTTTTTCTGTCCGACAAGGTAAATCAAGCCATGACCCTATCAGTTCTATTTTGCAGAATCGAAAAAAAATATAATCACGAGAGATAAGTTTCATAACATAAAATTGACATTCGATTTAAGCATTTCTTGCTGAAATCGAATGAATTTGCCAAAGTACTTTTGAATAACAAGGCGATTCATCAAAATTTTTTTTCATAAGTTAAGAGTCAAATAGAGCTCATCGGGTCCAAAATTATCGGACTTGTGCTCAAGAAAACCATACTTTGATACTCTCAATGAAATTTTTTAATCGGAATTGGATAGTCATCCCGAAGATACGACATACTTTTTCCTGATTTGTTGTATTCCGTGACTAGAGCATCTTACACATTTCTCAGATGACGAGAGTCCGTTGGGTCCTAAATTTTCGGACCTGAACCCAACTGAGTTCGAGTGTGGAATCAATCTGATGGATTCTAGAGCCAGACTAACAACTTTGACCTGATCTGGCTTATCAACCAGGTCGAGTTTTACCTGGACGGATCAGGCCATGTTAAAATACCATTATTTGACCTGACTCAGTAGCCTGCCAGGCTGATTTATACTGAATCTTACGAGGGAACCTCATTAACAGATACGCTCTGTTTGAGCTCACAGCGTAAATAAAAATTCTAAAATGGTTCGTGTCATTAAACCTTTCTCTTCTCGAGTTATGGTCATTTTACTGAATTTTCAGCCTATCACAGGATATTATGAGAAAAACCGCAATAAGAAATTTCTGTCTGAAATTTTTTCTAATAACAGGCCTCATAGTTCTTATTATATCTTGAAAGTTTCAGTTCACACAGATGCTTCTCTTTCGAGATAATACATTTGCAAAAATCACTACTTTCTCATAAAAACTCCGAAAATAGTACAGTTTTTTTAGATATCCAATATTGTAAGAAATACACACATCTGTTTGAGCCGAAACTTTCAGGATGTAATAAGGACCATGAAGTCTGTTATAAGAAAAATTTTCAGGCAGAAACTTCTTGTTGCGATTTTTTTCATAATATCCTACAATAGGCTGGAAATTCAGTAAAATGATCATAACTCGAGAAGAAAGGCCTACAGGTACGAATCCTTTTAAGATTTTTATTTGCAGTATGAACCCTACCCATAAGCTTAAACAGAGGGTGTCAATTGTTGAGATTCCCTCGTAAATATTACTGAGCATCAATATGACATGAAAATACTTAAAAAAATTCTGTTTCATTATTTAGTCATCATCTCTTTTTATGAAATAGTCAAGTTCTTGTCTTTTTTTATTTATTTAATTGTTTATGCGCATTGCTAATGAATAATTATGATTTGATAGACAAGTCATTGATAGAATATTGTCAATCAAATTAAATTCAACACTTGAATGGCACTATATTTCATTTTAAAGAAACAAAAAATGAGCAATATGAGATATTGAATTTATTGATCATGAAAAATTATTGAAATATTTCTTTCTACGAAATAAAACTTGTATTAAAATCATATGATATGTTATTAATCTTTAGTAATAGATATTAGTCACAATACGCGTTTGAAAGTTTATTAGAAATCGTATCAGTTCATTTTGTTCCTCATATTAACCTAGGTTTTGATCCCGCCAGGATCGGGACCAAAAATTTTTCTGATGAAGATCCGGCGCAGGTTTTTTCTACTGGGGCCGGGACGCTAAAAACGCTTGACTCCACTTATCACTACTTAAATATCAAATCTTGTAAAATTTTTAAGATATTAATTCATAACATTTCTTTTCCTATTGCACAAATGTTGATTTTCATCAATTGTAATATATACCAATAAAAAAAAAAAACAAAGCATCTCGAATTATATTTAATTTTGTTTTTTTATTTGCAACATTTTTCATATCTCATAAATATAAAACTCTTATCACATTCGAATATTTATCTAGAGAAAAGAGTTTTTTTTTTTTCTTCTCTATTTACATAAACAAAACAAATGAATATTGTATTGATAAGGCTTTTTTTTTTTTCATGTTCATCATTAGAACTAAATTGATGTCAACATTGTTTTTTTTTTCCGCCTACTCAAAAATTCGGCCAACACTTATTCCATTTTCGCACGAAAATTTCATTGGTTCATTTTTTTTCTCATAGAAGAGAAAAAGCCTTCGATGTACACCTTCTTTTGTTTGTATAAGAGAGTAACTCTCCATAAAAAAAAAAGAACACTTCATTTCCACTATAGTGTATCGTTCGGTAAGTAACATATGAATTTAACATAAACAATATTTGACTATGGCTTTTTTTTCCTTTTGATTTTGTTAAAATATTACTTTTTGCATCTTCTTCTTTTCTTATCATAAAAAGAGAAAAATAATAAAAAAAAAAAAAAAAACAGATAGAGTCTTATATGTCATTTCATTACATGCGACAAATATCAGCAGTGTTTCATTCTCATAATTGAATATTTATCATATTATAGATTGTCCTTGATAACCGTTAAAAGAATTACCAATCAATTTTCTTCTAATCAAAACAAAAAATTTTGTTTCATTCAAATTATGCAGAATAATTTACAAAAAGACACAACATATACAAAAATATTTGTTGGAGGTATAAAGAAATTTGTTCAGTTTGTTTTTTTTTTTTTGTATATTCAATTTTTCAAAAAAAACATTTTATATATTTAAGGTTTACCATACCATACAACTGATGAAACATTACGAGCTTTTTTTTCTAAATTTGGTGAAATTGAAGAAGCTGTTGTTATTACTGATCGAAGTACAGGAAAATCACGTGGTTATGGATTTGTATGTTTTGAATTTTATGAATTAAATTGTTTTATTTTTTTTTAATTTTCTATATAGGTAACAATGGCAAGAAGAGAAGGAGCAGACGAAGCTGTAAAAGAACCAAATCCAACTATTGATGGACGTCGTGCTAATGTTAATTTAGCTTATTTAGGTGCTAAAAATCGAGCAGCAACTTTACCATGTATGTTTACTAATTTACACAATAGGAAAAAAAAATTATCTTTTATTTTTCTAGACAATTATAGTCTAATTGCTCGTATGCCTACATATCAATCAACCGCTGCTGCTTATCCGTATGTATATAATTATTAATTATTAGAAATCAAATTTATTATTTTTTTTTTTTATGCAAATGTGATGACATATCTGATTTTGCATATAGATTTGATTTTTGAGAAGGAAGCCATTTGTTTGTTTTTAATTGTCTTTCTTTTTCTTTTTCTTTTTTTTTTATCAAATAGGCTTCTCTTCTTGTTCTGTCCGCCTTGATCACTTTTGATCGAATTGAAATAAAATGAGAGACAACAATACAAAAAAAAAAAAAAAGAAAAAGAAATCTTCAGACGAAATAATAATGTGAGTGCATTTTCTGCCGATGGCATTAAAACAATAGTAACTAATATACAATAGAAGACAGAGGTGAAAAGTTGGATAAACAATTATCAACTTTTTACATGTTATAGTTAAAAAGAAAGAACAGAAACAGAACACAACGACAAAATGACATTCGTTTCGTCTTTCTCTCTGTATAGGCTAATACAAAGTGCTGCCAACGGATGAACAGCAAAATGATTTAAATGAAAAAAAAAAGGTGCTTGTAGGTGTTTTTTTTTTCGCGTGCTCTGACCGTGTTTTATTTTATTTTTTGATTTGGTCGTTTACGTTTTGTTTGCCGTGTGTATATAAATATCCAACAGAGTCTAACGATTTGTTTATTATTAAATCATGATTTTCTTTATCCCTTATACGACACTATTAAAACTTATTTATAAAAGCTCTTTTTTCCCTATACATGTGTGTGCGTGTGTTATTTTGTTTGTTTGTGTTTTGGCTCTCTTTTGTGTTTGGTTTGACCTCGATCAATTTGCGAGAGAATCTGCATAGAAAATTTTCTCAAAAAACAACAAAATTTATTTAATAATAATAATAATTTTTTGTTTTTATTTTATTTAGTTCAAATGTTGTGTATTATCCATTAGCTCAACAATCAACTATTCAACAACCACTTTATTTAACACCAACAACTGCAACAACAGCAAACACATGGCCAACAAATTTATTTTCACAATTTAATCTTGCAAATCTATCTGCTGGAAATACATCAAATACAAATGTATCAACAACATTAAATACTACAAATACAACATCACCACAAACAATTTATGAAGTACCAACAGCAACTTTATTTGAATCAACATCATCAACAAGTGGACAACAATTATATTGGCCGAGTTATAATTAACCTTTTTTTCGTTTTATTCTTTCTTTGTAACAAATCTTTTGTTTTTTTTTTTTTCTAATCACCGTTTTATTTCTCAGACAAGAAAAAAAACAAAAATTACGACATACAGAAATAAATAAATAACACTGAAAAAGACAAATCTATTATGAACGTGATTTAAATTGATCACCATCAAAAGGTAATTTAAATTTTTTTATTTCAACCATTAATTGATGAAGATTAGGTAAAGATATATTTGACGATGCAGTTTTTAAATTTGTATTATTTGATAATAAACGTTGAAAATCATGATAATAAGATAGAAATTGTGTAAAAACTTCTTTAAGAATTGGTTGACTAAGTTTAAGTGATGGAAATGAACGAATAACATCATTATGAATTAAATCAAATGTCTTTTTAAAATCACCACTAAATAATTTACTAATTATTGTTAATTTATCTATTTTTAATATAAAAATAAGAAATAGAAAAATTTTTTATTTTTTGGAAAATAAATTACTTTCTAATTGTTTTATATTGCCATCGGATAAAAATTGATCACTATCACGAACAAAAGTAATCAATGGAGAAAAATATGGTATTAAAACTTCTTTAACATATTCATCAATACGTTCACGAAGTAAATTTTTAACTGCATCACATTCTGGTGAATCTTCACTTGTATATGCCTTTAAATATAACAACAAAAAATAAAAAGACACTAATGAAAAGATTTATACTATTATTTGACAATTTAAAGAAAGGAAAAAAATTACTCTGCCTTGTGGTAAATTCAATAGCCTAATAAATTTTCTATAATTAATAGTAACTGTAACTCTTGATAGAAGTTCGATATGACGCAGAGTTCTTGCGCTCAATCACTTAAGAGAACTCTTCTCTTTTCCGGACATGAAAATCAAAATTTTTTCGGTTTTTAATTTTTCATCGCTAATATAGCTCACATGTGTTCTCTGTGAAGTGTTATATAAGTGATGAGTCTTACGAGAGAACCGCTCGAAGTGATTCATCACTTTTGAGCTCATATTTTGGGGATATAGAAGGAACCTCTAGACTAGAATAATCGTAAAAGGGTTCGAGGTCATAGGCCTCTTCTACAGAGTTATAGCAATTAGCTTATAGCACGATATGTACAAATAAATTGACCTGAAAATTTGTCCACAGATAGGTCTACTTGTCATTAGAATGCTCTGAAAATTTCAACTGAAAATAATATTTCCTTCGCGAGATATTGAATGTCGATAAAATATAAGATTCTCGCATCTTTTATGAGATCTGAATGATTTTTGAAAATTCAATATCTCGCGAGACATTTTCAGAGCATTCTAATGACAAGTAGACTTATCTGTAGACAAAATTTCAGATCAGTTTATTTGTCCATACCGTACCATAGGCTAATATTGGTATAACTCTGTAGAGAAGGCCTATGGGTCCGAGCCGTTTTAAGGTTATTCTAGTCTAGAGAGGTCCCCTCTATATGCGCGCAACATGTGAGCTCAAAGACGGTGAATCACTTCGGGCGATTTCCTCATTAGTTAGTACATTTATTAAATCCAATTTTCAGAAAACTCGTGCTATGATTTTTCTATTCTATGCAAAATTCTCCTAATGAAGTATACTCCATATTTTGTTCTTTTCGTTCGAATGAAACAAGATAAAAGTAAACCTAATAACATAGACACTACACATAGTGTCTAGCGTATGTAAAAAATAAGTGTCACCTCTGTCGAACATATTGCAGCTGAGAAAGCAGAGCGATGTTTAGCCTTTGCGATCCCAATATCTTCTAGAAAAAATCATTTGAGAATTTTGTGTCGAAGACAAATTTTGCTCTACTCATCGAGATCTATCTACCTTTAAAGTTTCAAATTTTTCTGATAAGCCATTCTTCAGAAAGGGGTGCTTCTCGCATCTATCGGAGAGGTGATCCGAGACAAACAGCTGTTAGTGACTTGCCCAGGATCATTCCATGGTTGATGCTACTGAAGTTTGCACACAGCACCTTGTGAATACGTATCGAACAATTTAGTCACTCGATCATGATGACTCTAGCAATTTAAGACAAGAACTAGAAATGTTCGAATTCGGTCTTGACTACAATTTGATAAAAGGAAATAGAAGTATCGATGCTTTAAAATAAGCTGTTAGCGCAATCCCTTGCGGGATTAAAAGTGTGAAACACGATGGACCTATTGTTACGAATTAAATGGACAACGTCTTCTTCCATTTCTTTACGATAGATTTGTAGCTGACCGTTTATTTGATGCTTCAAATCTACAGTTTCTCTGTCACGGTCTGTGATGGGTCCGAAGGTTCTCTGTTACGGTCTGTGATGATCTCTGGAGTTCTCTGTCACGGTCTGTGATGATCTCTGGAGTTCTCTGTCACGGTCTGTGATGATCTCTGGAGTTCTCTGTCACGGTCTGTGATGGGTGTTAGGGTTTCTCTGTCACGGTCTGTCATGGGTGCTAGGGTTTCTCTGTCATGGTCTGTGATGGGTCCAGAGGTTCTCTGTCACGGTCTGTGATGGGTACTGGGGTTTCTCTGTCACGGTCTGTGATGGGTCCGGAAGTTCTCTGTCACGGTC